TGGTAGATATAGTTGGAGTTAGAATGCTAAAGATATGAGGGGAGTAAAAGGAGGTACTTCCACATGGCAGCAGAAAAGGCAAGGAGGAGGGAAATACACTAAGAAAGAAGAGATTAGGCAAAATATATGAAGGGGTTTTAGAAACACCCTCTATCATGAAGATAACAAAATATTTACTGAGAAATGAATTGCTAAAAAAAGAAAAGCTAGTGAAAGTTATCCTGGATATTCACAAAAAGTAAACTCTTATTCTAAGCCATTACAATACTCTAAGTTAATGTAAAATTTTAGTTGATCCTCTCAGGTATATTAATTTGCATTTCATTGATTCATAGACCATTCCAAAAGAATAAAAACATATAATTCCCTTAAAACTACAAGATATTTTATCATCTTATAGGACATCAATTTTATAGAAGTTAAATACATATTCTGTTAGACTATATTTCAAACAGAGTTGTGCAAATGTCAGAGAAGTTATTAATCTGGAAGAATAGCCACAACAGAAATATTTGCTACTTGGAATGATGCCTAATCTTTAGTTTTAAAACTTGCAGTGTTGCATTTCATCTAATTAAAAATGGCTGAAGACAAACCACACATGACCTACTGTTCATTGACTAATGCAGCAGAACTGTGTAGAAACTAGTAAATGATTGAAACAATATTTGAAAATTAACACATATAAATGGAAATTCATCAAATTTGCAAAAATTTAATCCGTGACTTGATATTCTCTAAATCATATAAGTACATTTAAGTACATCTAATAGCTAGAGAAAGATTCTTTAAATGTGACATGGCAACTGATAATGTAATTTAAAGACATTATTCCATGTGAAGTACCTATTCATATGCTACCTTACAGAATGTATTAGCAAATGTTGAAGATAAATAAAACAACAGTTTAAATAAAAGATAAATAAAAGCAACAGTTATGCTTTGTGATAAGTGCTTTGGTTCATATTATCAAAAGGTTAATTATAAAGACAGGAAATTTATTTATGTTTAAAATGAGATAATTACCATTTCTCTTCTTGCTAAAGAGAGACTCTAATCGTATTCTCACTGTGATTTTTCATCTTTTGTATAACAAACCTTGCCTCATAAATGTTATATTCCAGGAAAAATAGATATATAAAAATATATAAGATATATAAGATATTAGGCATTGCCAACAATATCTACTTAATTTGTAGAAAAATACAGTCAAATATGTTCTAGGAAATATGTATAATACTGTTTACTGTATATTTTATATCTTTTTTTCTCAATATCAGTGCTATAACTCCTAGCAAAATCTATTACTAATTTTATCATTCTCAGATTTTAGAAAAATAAATCTTACTCCAGAAAGGATAGTATAGAGACCTTAAGGCACTGTATAGTCCTAAATAATGAAATAACAACAAGAAAGCATACTCATTTTCACTTTAAGTTGAGAATCATATAACTTTTCTTCCTTTGAGGAAAGGGAATTAGCCTCTAAAATTCAGATATAAAACATTTTTCCTTTTATAATTATTTTATCTGGCTTATAAAATATTGATTATTGTTTTATAAATTTCCTTGAAAATAATTAAAAGCTGGCATACCATATGTATTTTTAAAGAATGAAAGAAGAATCAGACAGTAGAGTTTTGGGGACTCTGGCCTTAGTGACACATTGTATTTATTTTAAAAATGGGTGGAAAAGGATTAAAAAATCAGAGTAAGAAAATGCTAAGTTAAATGATCCTTTGTTTTTTTAACTGAATCCAAAAGTTCAACAAGTTTGATAATAAGTATGAGTTAAGGCCGGGCGCGGTAGCTCACGCCTGTAATCCTAGCACTTTGGGAGGCCGAGGGGGTTGGATCATGAGGTCAAGAGATCGAGATCATCCTGATCAACGTGGTGAAACCCCGTCTCTACTAAAAATACAAAAATTAGCTGGGCATGGTGGCACGCGCCTGTAGTCACAGCTACTCGGGAGTCTGAGGCAGGAGAATTGCTTGAACCCAGGAGGCGGAGGTTGCAGTGAGCCGAGATCGTGCCATTGTGCTCCAGCCTGGGTAACAAGAGCAAAACTCCATCTCAAAAATAAATAAATAAATAAAATAAATATGAGTTAGCATTATATTATTTGTAATGACATTTAAATATACATTAGTTGTTTTAAAATCTGTTAAAGATTAGTTAAAAGTTCTTGATGATGACAGTCCCAGGAGTAAAAGCAAAAAGAATAACACATGGCTGCAGGGAGCTACAAAAGATATGTTCAAACATTCAAATCATCAATATAAAGGGCAAAATAATTAACCAAATCACAAAAGAACAAGAATTTCCAGAAATAAGCAACTTTGTAAAGGACTAACTCTGCATTATTGGCAAAAAAAAAAAAAAAAATAGTGAAAACATAAAAGAGACAAAAATCTAAATAAATTTTATCTGGGAACAACTTTTTCCTCTATATGAAATTCATTTTGGGTATCATATGTCCATGGCAGTGTATTTCTATGTTTAGTAGTTTAGTCAGCCATTCATAGTGACTGCATAAAAAAAAGAATGTCTTTTTATTTATAAAAACCAAGGCTTTCTAAAAAATAAACTTAGAATATATAAGGTCATGAAAGCACTTGAGATACTTGGAAGAATATGAGAATTATGAAGGCTATATTTTTCAAATGCTATAGCATCATTATTTTTTATACTTCAAATCTTTATCAAATTGGTTTGCTTTGTATTTTAGACTTCTTGGATTACAATATGTAATCTCAGAATTACACGTCAGTTACCTATTTGCTAAGAAAATTTATTATACTAAACATATAAGTGCTTTTTAATTGTGTTCGTTTTTCTTCTTATGCCCATTTTAAGAATTTTCTCTTTAGATTTTATTGGCTCTTACATTTTAGATGCATTCTTTATAACTTTAAGTAATATTTCTAGAATTTATTTTTGGATAAAATTCAATTAGAAATAATATATTGGAAATCTGATTCATGTTTTATAGTTCTTGAGGATAAATAAGTGCTCTTAAGGCATTTATTATTGAAGTGTTTCAGATATTGTAATCCAACAGTATTTAACTCAATAACTTTCTTTGCCAGTTAATTGAAAAAACAAATACTGAGTCAAAATGATTCGCCAGGTTCTTTGGGGGCTAAAACATAAATATTTACTTATGAGTTATAGGCTACCTCATAGAAAAGGCTTTCTGATCACTTACAAAGATAAAGTATGATAAAAACAAATAAGAAAATTGAGAGAAAAAAAAGTTAGGAAAAATGATACAAAACAAGATAATACCAAAATAGCAATATCAACTAAAGCTAGTATGAATATTGACAATATTTATTGGGTCTGTGATGTTTCAGGCACTTTTTAAAGCCATTGCACATATATTCACACATTTTAAAGTAAAATGTACAATACTTTATATACTTTGCTAGAGGCATGTAGCATTTTTGGCTCTGACCTTTGGCATGCAGTGCAAACAAAGAAATACATCAGTCATTAAGTGTATAATCCAAAAGATAAAAACAAGTAATGCCTTAGGAAAAGCTTATCTACTTTTGGTCTTAAGATGAGAGACACAGTTTAAGGAACAGTCTAGTTGGGCAGATATCCAGGATATGATCTGTACTGCATGCTAACACAGTACTAGAAATAAAACAAATTGGGAAAGCATATTTATCACAATATTCTTCTCCCAGAGTTCTTTTAAAGTAGACCACTCTACTGAAGGAAGATGTTGATAAGCTATTTAGAGGGTATGTGTGAGTGTGTTTAAGCTATTTAGAATGTGTGTGTATGTGTGTGGAAGCAAGAGAGAGAGAGGGAGTGTGTGTGTGTGTGTGTGTGTGTGTGTGTGTGTGTGTATGTAGAATGAGTCTCCTATTCAGTACATTCCAATAAATAATATCTAGAGTGCTTGTGGAAAATAGATTATTTAACTGTAGGATTTTTTTTCTTTTAGTGTGTGTTTGTGTGGGGTGGATGTTGAGGAGATGTACTGTCCAGAGTTTAGACAGAAGTGATCCTCCCTGCATTCTTCCTCTAACAAGATCTCATATTCTCCATTAAATAACTAGTGTACAGGAATTTCAAGACTCCTCATTTAATGCTAATATTAAAGTGTTTTATTTAAACATGAAATATTTATTTATTGGCCTAGACCAGGGTGCTCACTTCTCTAGGTTCAGCCCTACCTCAACAATCGTAGAATAATATGACGGTAGATTTTGTGTATTTTTATTTGGTTTTGTTTCTGTTTTTATGTTATTTTTTTTTTTTTTTTTTTAAATAAAATGCCCTCAATCTAAGCCAATAGCATAATAGCAAAGTACAATTCAATACAAAATTAATTCTATAAGATCACAAAACAATATATTCTAAAAACACAGCTCATTGAAGTTTTGGACTGATTGATTTGTAGAATTTACTGTGTCTCCAGGGAATGGATGGAGTGATAATCTCCACCGAGCATGCCTTCTCAATAGGACCAACAAGGCCTCCAACTAAGTGAAAGTTGTTTCTTGTGGGGTGGAAAAATCTGAGATTTCATAATACTCTTGGATCACTAAAGGGCTACACCCGAACATAAACAGCTATACAGATTTTTGGTATTAAAATTTCGTAAGTGGTAACACCTGGAAAAATAATGTGTAACAAGGCTTCCTAGGTAGGCAATAATGAAGGAAGTTTGAGAAATACTGATATAGAGTATTATCTTTCCCAGTCATACTTCTGGTTAGAATTAGGTGACAAAGGTTTAAGATATATTTTTTAAAAAGCAGGTTTTAATTTACTCATTTATGGCTCATATCAAAGGTGGACACTATTATTCTCATTTATACAGAAAGAGAACATACCTATGCTAAATAATCAAGGCATATAATAATGATTTGGTTCTGTGTCCCCACCCAAGTCTCAGGTTGAATTGTAATCCCCGGTGTTCCAGAAGGACCTGGTGGAAGGTGATTGGATCATGGGGGTGAATTTCTCCTTTGCTGTTTCTGTGATAGTAAGTTCTCATGGTATCTGGTTGTTTAAAAGTGTATAGCACTTGCCCCTTCTCTCTATCTTGCCACTGTGTGAAAATGTGCTTGCTTCCCCCTTTCCCTTCTGCCATTATTACAAGTTTTCTGAGGCCTTTTCAGCCATGTTCCTGCGTAGCCTGTGAAACCGTGAGTCAATTAAACCTCTTTTCTTTATAAACTACAGTTTCAGGTAGTTATTTATAGAAATGTTAGAATGGACTAATAAAGCATATAAATGATAAAAACATCCACAAATTTATAATAATAATATAAACAGCTTGGCCAGGTGTAGTGGCTCACACCAAATAATCCCAGCACTTTGGGAGGCCTAGGTGAGAGGATCACCTGAAGTCAGAAGTTCAAGACTAGCCTGGCCAACATGGTAAAATCCTGCTTCTATTGAAAATACAAAAATTAGCCTGATATGGTACATGCATCTGTAATCCCAGCTACTAGGGAGGCTGAGACAGGATAATCATCTGAAACTGGGAGGCAGAGTTTGCAGTGAGCTGAGACTGTGTTACTCTGCACTCCAGCCTGGGTGACAGAGTGAGACTTTAGCTTTAAAAAAAAAAAAAAATTATAGACGTCTTAATTAGTGAAATCAAATAAACAGGCTTATTTCCCTAATTAAAAGAAATAAAATAAGCAGGCTTATGTTTGCCAGAAACAGGCTTATATATCATGAGCTGGGGACTTAATGGTAGTGACCAAGATTGACAAAGATTAGGCAAAATATGAATATGAATATGATCTAGTTCCCTTCTAAGATAGGAAGTCATTAAAGCTTTTGTGCAGAGACATGAGAAGCTGACATATTTTAAAATAATCACTGTGATCATTTTGTTGAGAATGAATTGTAGGTGTTAAGCACCAAGCAAAGAGCAAAATTAGATAGCTAATGCAGCAATCCTGGAGATGAGGCACAGTGGCTGGACCCTATGATGGGAGAAGGAGAGATGGGTGTTTCTAAATACATTTTGTTAGTAAAATCAGCAGGATTTCTTGATGAAATGAATGTGGTGTGTAAAGAAAAATGACACCAAAAATTACTTCGAAGAAAATTGGAGATACTTCATTAAGATGGGTAAAACTGCAGAAAAAGGAAACAAAGGGCAGAGAGGAAGAGTTCAGTTTGGATGTCTGAATGGAGATAGCAATCAGGCAGCTGAATAAATCAGAGAAGACTGACATTTGATTGTTCTCAGCAAATACATGCCATGCACTTAAAGCCTTGAGACTGCATGAGATTACTTAAGGGCTAAGAGGAAAAGAATTATTGACTTACTGAGTCCTGGGAGATTTTTAAGTTCAAAGGTTGGAATGATTACCAGAAACCAGAAAAGAAGGCAGAATACCAGCTGGTAAAGGGAAAGTAATTATCAAAAAAGACTGTTGCCCAGAAAGCCCAGAAAGAGAAAGTGGTCATATGCATCAGTGCTGCTAAGAGGTTGAGTAAGGAGAGGGCTACTCCTAAATTAGAAACATGGAGGTCATTAGTGACCTTGACAAGAACTGTTTTAATAGGATGTTGAGGTAAAAATCTGATTGGAGCAAATTTAAGACAGAATTTTGGAAGAGGAATTGGGTGGTGAAGATGATAAATTTTTTTGTTGAATTTTACTTTGAAGAAAATAGAACATGCGTTAGTTACTGGAAGAGATTTTCTTTTCTTTTCTTTTTTTTTTTTTCTACCCTCCCTCCCTCCTTTCCTTCTTCATTTCCTTCCTTCTTTCCTTCTTCTCTTTCTCTCCCTTCCTTTCTTCCTTCTTCTTTCTTTCCTTCCTTCATTATTTTTCCTTCTTCTTTCAACTCTTGCTCTGTTTTGTTATATTTGTTTTCTCCCCCTTAAATGTGGGCAATATTGCAGAATACTTGTATGGTGATGAGAAAAGTAAAAAAGAAATAAAAGAAATATAACAATGTAGAAGAGGAAAGAAAGGATCGTTGAAGCAATATTCTTGAATTAATAAGACGTGTTAGAATCTGACTTCCATGTAGAGGCGTGTAGGAACATAGAGTATTCAGCCCGAGTCTCAGGAAGGAAGACAGGTCACATGGGCACATATGTAGATGTTGGCTGCTTCAGATTGCTTTTATTTCTCAGAGAAATAGGAAGCAAAGTCATTGACTAAAGAGGAAAGATGGTAAAGATGTGTTAGAAATTTAAGGAAAGAGGAAACTGTAAAATAGTTTGCTAGGTGAAAGAAAGAGTGGGTGTGCTAGGAAAATCTAATGGAATGGCCCAGCAGCACTATGGGCCCACGTCAGGTTTTGTGGTCACGAATTCGAGGTGAAACTAGTGTTCATGTTGGCATTCTTCTCTGGCCACCTTTAGCTTTGAAAATGTAGGCTTGGAGCAAGTGATGAGTTAAATCTAATCCATTGCTTTAGACAAGTGAGTATAGTGAAGTGAGAGAAAAAGGTACCTCTGGGTGGAATGAGAGATCTATGTAAGAGAGTAATTATATTATATAGCTGTGGGATTTAAGCTGGATATAGAAAGAGTGAGGATACCAGGAAGGTAAGGGACACAGGTAGTGGTCACATCAATGGCTTGTAGTTCCTGATAGGTCAAAAAATTTTGATAGTCTGAGCACCAGAAGAGGAAAGATGGGAAGTGGGAAGAGGATAGGTCGTTTGAGATTATAAAGACAGTAATGAAAAAGATTAAGGTAGAACCATGGGAAGAACAACATAAAGAAGAGAAAGAAACTGGGAGAACAGAGTAATGCAAAAATCATTTACATCTACATTGTAATCACTAGAAAGCATGAAAGAGAATGGCATTTTCTTCCATGTCATTTGGAAAGGATGACAATGATCTAAAATCCAAAGTCTTCAAGGAATGAGTAAGAGTGGCCCTGGATGTTGGTAGAAAACTTGGAAAGAAGGGGAAATGGGTGGGAGATGGTGATGATACGAGATTCCAACCAGAGTTTTTTAGGCAAGAGATAAAGAGAATACTGTAGAAGTGACAAGAAGGAGGATCATCTAACCCTCTACCAGGAGCAGCCTTCAAGAGGCATGAGAGAGATAGCCACCACTTTTGAATAGACAGTCAAAGGAGCAATGTCATCAGGGAGAGCAAGATTTCAGATAAAGTTAAAAGGTGAAGGAAGCATTCAGTGAATAGATGGAAGTTACAGGAGACTCTATTGATGACTGATGGTGAGTTTTAGAGGAAACAGTGGGAAGGTTTTACGAGTCAAGTATGAATAGAGAAGTCAGAAAATGGGCATCTGGATCTGTATTAATCAGAGAGGCCTGAGTTTCTGTAGGTGAGTGTCATAAACAAGGCCCGAGGGCATGAACAAATGAGATGTCAGTCTCCAGATACGTGGTGCTGGTGAGACAATGAATGTTGAGGATGGGAATGCAAGTGGGAGATCCTGGTAGGGGCATCTGGCTTCTGCTTGGATGTGGACACATAAAATGTGAACAGTTTATTTATTTATTTATTTATTTTATTTTTTTATTTTACTTTAGGTGTTTACTATATCCAGCATTTCTCCCCATGTTATCCCCCTCACCCTCCCGACCCCCCACTGTCCCTCCCCTATCCCTCCACAACTGCCCCCAGTGTCTGATGCTCCTCTCCCTGAATCCACGTGTTCTCATTGTTCAACACCCACCCATGAGTGAGAACATGCGGTGTTTGGTTTTCTGTTCTTGTGTCAGTTTGCTGAGAATGATGGCTTCCACATTCATCCAAGTCCCTACAAAGGACATGAACTCGTCGTTTTTTATGGCTGTGTAGTATTCCATGGTGTATATGTACCACATTTTCTTTGTCAAGTCTATCATTGATGGGCATTTGGGTTGGTTCCAGGTCTTTGCTATTGTACATAAGGCTGCAATGAACATATGTGTGCATGTGTCTTTATAGTAGAAAGATTTATAGCTCTTTGGGTATATACCCAGTAATGGGATTGCTGGGTCAAATGGAATTCTATTTCTAGATCCTTGAGAAATCACCACACTGTCTTCCACAATGGTTGAACTAATTTACACTCCCACCGACTGTGTAGAAGTGTTCCTATTTTTCTACATCCTCTCGTTTCAGTTTGGGTTTGGCCATGTGAGGAGCATAAAGAGGGAAAGGGACAAAGTATACAGGGCAGTTGCTTTCATTATGAACCATGGAGTCTGAGCTGACATTCAAGAAGAAAGCTGAGGCCATGAGGATGGATGAAGGACAAAAAAAAAAAATGCAGACAATATCAACAATGATAGTCTGGGTGGGGAGGGGGGTAGAAGAATTGTTGGAGTTGGGAGGAGATTTGAGGGAATAAATTAGAAAAAGAGTCAGTGGTCAGAGAACAGACTATTTAAAATTAAAAGTTTTAAAAATGTTTGCAGTTATTAATAATATCAAGATTTACAGGGGTTCTTAAATTTTTTGTTTAATAGACCCCTTTAGTGGTCTATGGATGTTTGTAAAAACTAAGACTAATATTCTTACTACATGCATAAAATATAATACATAGAGTTTTTTTAAAAAGTATTATATTGAAATGCATTTATAAAAGTATCAAGAAATCAAATGTACATTACTAACACATTAAAATAGTATGCTTATTAACACATTAAATAACAGGGTCTAGGAGCAGATTTAAGAAATGTATTATTGAAGTAATACTTCAACAGCTGAAATATATGAGAATATCTGATTGTTATTGGTGACAGTAATATGTGACCTAAACTCATATATTTTAAAATGTCAAATTTCAGTTAGAAATTCATGAAAATTATAATGTATTTTTTTAACCATCCCAGTTTCAGAAACCTCTCAAATTCAAATTCATGCTGAAATCTGTTAATTCCTGTCTAGATTGTGATCGTGAGTGAGTGGCTGAGTCAGAACACAGGACGAGATTATCAGAAAAGAAAAGTTAGATAAATTAAGAGGCTAGGGCATTGGATAGACTGTCTGGATGTTGATATCCTAAAAGTGCCCAACTTGTAGGCACATCTGGATTCTAAGGTATCTCCTATGGGCTAAAGCTCTTGAGGAGTCAGTCCCTGTGATCTACCATACCCTGACTCTTAGTGCATCTTCCGTAACCTTCAATACCTTTCACTCTTCTTATTTCTCCTGGCCATGTGACCCAAGACTGGTTATTTGCTTTTGAGCCCATTTTTAAGAAAAAGAAGTGAGAGTCAAGTATGCTGGCCATGAAATAGAAAGTTATAGGCGAAAGACTACTGGCTGGAGGATCTCATATTCCTGAAATTGTTCTAAAATATTTATTTTCTTTTGGTCTGGATCATTTGCAGAAGATGTGTATAAAAACTGCCTCTGGAATGTCCTTTGCACTGTTCTCATACTGTGAATAATCTACCGAGAGACCTGGCTTCTAGCCTTACCCAACTATGGGAATTACTTTGAGACCTAAATGTCCCTTCATAAATCATTAAATCTGGTCCCTAATGCAGTATTGAATAGACCATTTTAATAGGTTGACATATCACTTTCCAGTTTAAGCGTTTTATATCCCCTCTTATTATGGCATTAAAGGCTTCCAGTTTTATTTATGAGAAATTTCAAGGGTTTTATTTTTAACAATCACAAAGTCACTTTCTCTTCTAAATGGTTTTCAAATTTATGATACAGTGAATAAGTGTCAAACCTCAGGAGAGAAAATTGAAAACCCAACTCTTTCTCAGAACATACAGTTGTCTTTACATTTTCCTAAGAGGTTTACAAATTTCAACATAGCCTATATGTTTCAAAGGAAAGTGAATTTTGAAGTTTTGTTGATGCATATAACTATTAAAGATAATCTGATTGTTTTAATTGACTTATGTGTTGCTCTTATTTCAGGAGAGAACATAAAGTAATATCCTATTATTTGGGGTTGGGGGTAGATGTATCTTAGCTTATCCTTAGGAAGATATGAAATATCTTAATGTAATTTTTATGTCATTAGTAAATCAACATTCATAGAATAACACAAAATTAGGCTAATAATTAAAATTCTTCATATAAGATACATAACTGTAAAAGATTATCATTTTCTCTTGACTAATTTATTCATGCAAATATTATAAAATTGGTTGAAACTTTACAACTAATTTTCTCAAACCTTGGTATTGTGCATACACGTGAAGAGAAACACATTACTGTATAGTAAAACTAAAATTTTGCTGATACCCAATGCTCAGAAAAATAAAACCATCTTTTAACAAAGGTATCTCTCTTAGAACTATTGGTTCATTCTCTGAAAATTCTTCACCATAATTGCATTTTCTGAAAATAAGTAATTCCTTTAATTTCTGACCTCCTTTTCCAAAGCACTCACTATATATGGGAGTTCCTCCTCATGCTAGCTTCCTATTTTAGTTCCTTCGGGAATATTCTTTCCAGATTCTATCTTCCCAGTATAACATTCTAAATTTAGAATACATCACTAAATGCAGCTCTTTGAGGTGAAGGATTTGCCTCATAGATTTCAAAATTGTGGAATAACTGAATGATAAAACAAAACAAAAACATTTACAATTTTTATGTCAGTAATGATGTAAACCAATCCTTAAATATTCCTACTTGACTACATAAATATTCTTTAACAGTGATAGAGGCAAATAATTTTTAAAGGATAAACCTGTGTTTACCTAATTTCCTCTTCTCTCTTTTCTCTACAAGTGTATCCTTCCTATGTCTTTGTTCACTTACCTCATTATTTAACTTTGAACATCATGCAAAAAATCTTTCTCCCTCTGCTTCTTTGCTAATACACTCTTCATATTTTGTTCTGATATTGTTCCGATATTATTCGCTCATCCAGGGAATGTTTTCTCAACCCAGATCAGTAGTGAATCCTGATCACACTGAGCAATTGTAGAAATGATATTTAACTACTTTAAGGATAGACTTTTGACACAGTTCTAAACATTGTAGGGAATGTTTTTTTGAGAAGATTCTGTGAAAGTCTGGGCTGCTTTTTAAGATGGAGCTTCAAAAGAGACAGACCCTCTTCTTTCTTGGAAAATATAGGGTCTCGGTGATTCCTGACACTTCTGCAGACTCTTACAAC